TCAAGATGCCCACACCTACTACGGAACAAAACACAATACTCTCGGTACTGTGAAACTTGCTTTCTTTGTGTCCAGTTGAATTAGTCGTAACACTACTTGTTTCAGTCGTTTCACTACTTGTTTCAGTGGTATCGCTAGTTGTTTCAGTCGTATCACTAGTACCTGTCACACTTAACATTAGCATCGGCATACATTTGGACCCAGTTGCAAATCCTTCAACATAACCACCAATACAGCCACAGCTACCTGTTCTTGGGTTACACTCTCGCTTTGAATCCAATTCATGATTGCATTCATCATTGGATTCGCACATAAAATGCTCACAAATTTCTGTCCGATTATTAAGTTTGTAATTGGGTTCACAAATACATAGCCCGTCCAGACATCTCTGATTCATGGCCTTACAATCCCCATTGGACAGGCATATAGGACTTTTAGTTAAATTACTATTTCGTATGACATAGGCATTTATACTAGTTAAATAAATAATTACTAACAAACAATAAGCTATATTTTTTAAATACATTTTATACTAATTTAGTATATTAAAAGTGTTTTAAGTATTGTGAATCAAGTTATGACTAGAATTTGTATTAAAATTCAAATAAAAACATTTGCTTTATATATACCCTGAGCAATCATTTTTCTCGGGATATGCGTTTTGGACTTATAATCTAATCGCATATCTAATGTATTGGAAACTAATGCTACAGTAAAATGTACGGAGAATTTGCAAATTCATAGTAAAAATATTCTGTATTTTTAAGACACTTATTCACGTCATTTGTTAAAGGATTAAAGTTTATAATGAGCATTTTATGACCTGAATCAATTTGTGATAAAAATTATTATTATATATTTTGTTCGTATTTTTGTACATATTATATAAGTTTTAAATATCTTATATACCTTGAACTATTTATAAATAAATGTGCCTTTGTAGATAAAAACAAGTATAGATGATACATTAATATGAAACAATTGTTAATTTTTGATAACCTTACAATTAAACTTGAAATAATGATTTATTTTTGAAAACGTATAAGAAAAATTAGACAAGGGAAACTTATTTTAGCACTATCTATATAAAAAATATTAATTTTGAATGAAGCTTTGTTTTAAGGTAATATAGAAACGTTATATTATTATTGTTTATAACACATTTGATAATGCACATAATTAACAATGTTTTCATGGTCGGTCAATCATGATAAACTGAATCTGAACTAAACTTTTATTTATAAAACCTAATGTGCCCAATTCACTGAATTTATAAACACTTAAGAATTTAATGCAATATTAATTCCTATTTATATAGAAAATGATTTCTCAATTATTATGTATGAAATTACATCAGATTATGAGTGCAGTACTATTAGTACACAACTATCAATAATATGGTGCATTTATATAATAAGGAATTTAATAATTATTAGTTAGTCATTCATGTATCTGCCATTTAAAATAAAATTAACAGCCAAGGAACTTGTAATAATTTTATTTGTAATTTTATTAAAATTTTAATTTATAAAAATATAATATTATATTATAATACGTACTGTATGTTATTGACTAATAATTGTATAATTATAGGAAATAATTAAAGATTAATCCAGCTTTTAATCATTGACATTTAATAATTGATTAATTATTGAAAAATCATTGAGCATACTAATATTATTGCAATTAATTAAGGTAATACATGAAATCTTATTTATTGATTTGAGTATAATATACAAGTTAGGTATATTGTATGTCATATGTCTTTATTATCAGTTATTAATTATTAATATAGCATCATATAGTCTAATAGAGATGTTATTTTTATTTTTATTATTGATCATTTATAATTATCAGAAATAATATTATATAAATTTAAAAAATATGATTACTAGCTAAATATTAAATATAGAGAAAATATAATCATATCTATAGATATTTAAAATAAAATAAAATAAATAATTATTAATAATTTATTATATTTAGTTAGTTACTATGTAAATTTAATTAATAAATAAATTTAAATTATAAACATTTTTAATCATTATACAAAAATATTAATTAATTAATTTTATTATGAAATAATTTATTAAAATATTTATTAAACAAAAAATTAATTTTAAAAATGTTCAATTAATTATTTCATGTAATTTTATATAAAACGTATTAAAGTATAAAAATATAAAAAAGAAAAATTATACAAATTAGCAAATTATTTTATATATAAATTAAATCTTAATTTTTAAACCAAAATTATATTAGACCTTGTGGAACTTCTAGGGTATTTATTATTATCGGACTTTTTATTTTTATATTTATATACCAGTTTGTATATAATAAATACAGCCAGAACAGTAAACACTAACATTCCACCACAAATGAATCCAATCATATATAATTTACGCTCTGGGTCCTTTTTATGATGTTTTGATACTTTATGCCCTTTAGGGTTATGTTCAGTATCGTTGAAAACTTCTTTAAAAACATTTTGTAGTCTTTGTGAACATTTGCCACCATTTGTCTCATCCGGATAGTGACCCTCATTGCAGACACACTGACCATCACTTGTATTGCAAAATCTCAACAAATCTTGACTTTCGTGGCGACAGTCGTCGTCGGCTTTACAGACAATTAGTTCACATTTTTGCGTAATTTTATTAAACTTATAGTTTATGTCACAAATACATTGCGAATCAACACATCTCTGGTGTGCGTCAATGCAATGATTTGCGAAACATTTGCTATAAATATTTGCAGACTTTATAGCATCGAGTGATTCAATGGATATAACAATTGACATCAATGTCACAAAACACGCGTACATTATATGCGTAACCATTGTTAAGCAAATTATAACTATATGTTTTTTCAAAGTCTAACTATTTTTCAAAGTCTAATACATTTATTGCTATTTCGTCAATGAATACATGACTACTGAATATACACACCATTTATATACCAAATGAAAGCATTTCAATAATAAAAATTCTTAGTATTCACATTTAGATAATATAATACATATTGTCCTGATAATTATAACATAAACACAAAATACTCTTTGTAAATCTCTGCAAAACCCTTACTTCTAATGAATTTTAAAGCCATTAATCCAATAATTTATTACATTTACTATTATGTCATATATTTTCCATCTAATATTATAGGAACTTCCTACTTTATTGCCTATAATTTCCAATCAATTTGTAAATGAAATCAATTACACAATTAATTCGGGGTTATTGTGCAATTGAATTACACTATTTGTGGATTATAATGATTATGTGATTATGATAAACACAATACTTTTAATTTTGATGCAATTCACAATAACATAACAACTGAGTGCAGTCAGTTTATTATATCATATTATTGCACTAATAAGTTATTAGTAATAACATACTGTTCCCAACAAAATAACTACCAGTTTAGAGAATTAAAATTTTATTTTATCATTGGATAGGTTTTATTTGGTTATAATTTATAATAAAAGCATTAAATAATCAATCTTGGTTACATAGGTAAGAAAAACATAAAACAATACAATTATAACAATAATAATTAATAATAGTTAATATAAAACATTTTGGCATACATGTATAAGTTAATCAATTTAATTAATCAAGTAAATATTATTACTTAAACTATTAAAACTTAAAATCAATTACCACCCTGCTCAATATTACGCCTGTTAGTCTGCATATAAGCCAACGCATCTTCATTATCGTAGCAAATATGAAGTCCAAGTTTATCCAGCTTATCAGCATAGGTGTCATCAAACAGCTGACTCTGAGCATCGGTGAACATGTGCTTCCAGCCCCCTATGACCCCCTGTCTCATGAACTTGGAGTCCTTCATATCGAACACCCCCTTCAGTAGAATACTCTCCCGGTTCACCATTTTATTGTCTTTCATGCACTCAAAGGAACAGTGAGTGGCGATCCGAGCGATCACCTCATCCGACAGGTCTTTGCCCAAGAAGTTGGCAATAAGTGCCACCATTTTAGGCAAATCAGTCTTCAGCTCCTCGTACGACAGGAACAGTACCTGATTGGGGTTGTGCTGGTGTAGGCGCCAGAAGCCCTCCACGTGCGACAACCAGTCCCCGTAGACCAATTGTCCGGATACAAAGAGTTTGCAGAAGTCATCCCACGAGCCCTTGTAGTTACCCAAGAATGAGCTCATCCGGTGGTGATAGTAGTAGGACACGGCCGCGTCCTTCGGGTTGCGCACCACGTAAATGATCTAGGTGGTTAGTAGCATTTTTATTAGTTATAGTTATAGAAATTTATAATATACTAAATATATTTAATACTAATTGTAATATATTCTTAAGGTAGTGTATTTTTATTAGAGTATATTTTGTGAATATTTCATAAATATATTAAAATCATAGCAATTTAATAAAGCAAAATCAGAAATATGTACCGGCTACTAGTAAATAAATAAAAACTTAATATTGAAATATTAAGATCTGACCATTGAATTGTCCAAAATTTAAAATATAAATATATCTCATAGTCTAAAAATTTTACAACATATAAAATTACAGTCTGAAACGTGAAATAAATTTAGAATATATATCACCAAAACAATAAATAGTATTTTATTGTTATAAGCAAGTAAATTATTAGTAATTATTATACAGTTTTCTATAATTATTGCAAAAATATACTGTATTAAGAGAATAGAGGTTTACATTATACTAGTAGTTTTAAATTATAATTTTATTCATAAGTAATCACAATTAAGTTATACTATGTCAAATAATAACTAAAAAATAAATGAGTACTAAAATAATTAATTTTGGACACTATATAGGAATTGACCTGTGCCAAAATAACTTTAAAATTATTAATGGTATGGAATTATTAAGGCCGAAAAATAGTTTTGTTATCACTAATTGATATATAAATAACTTAATGTTTAATTTACAGTTTGAACAGAAATAAACTTATAAAATAATATGAATAAAAATATGCAACAAACTACTTAAATATTTATAACTAAGAATTATATTCAATTATTAATTATAACTCAAATACTAATATCGAGATCAAATTATTTTCGGCACATACCTTGCATTTCATTTGCCTCAATTGTCTGGGTATATGAGTTGTGGGCAAATGAGTGGCAATCAAACGCTGAGACTTCTTGGACTTAAGCCAACGCGAGTGCCCGACAGGCAGTCCCACCTCAAAGTGCTTCACCCGCTTTGGCAACACTGTCTCCTTAACCTTCTCTATATCTCCTCCGTTGGCAATGAGGGACAGTATCTCCTCAGTCCAAGTGGTGCCCGACTTGGGATACGTGGCCAGCCATATATCGTCTTCCCTTACTTGAAAATTCTTGATTTTCCCCAAAAAATTAGGAAATACGAGATATCCCTGAAGCAGTATATCATCAAAACGCCAGGCGTTCGGTATGGACCGCACATACTGTGCCCGTTGAGGATCGGTATCTAATTCAGGGTCGTGAGCGGCGATGTGTATATCGGACGACCGTTTCTGCGAGAATTTGCGGAATAATTTAGTTTCACGAATGTTACGAATATTCCATATGATGTTCAGGGCAAACATTATTGCAACTAGGTTGTTATAAAATAATTAAATATATAGCTTAAAAATGTGTATTAATTATAATAATTTACTAAATTAAGTATTATAGAAATGTTAATATAATAAGTTTTTTTACTTCAGCATCAGGTTATAAGGGAATCATCAAGGTTATTATATAAATGACTATTCAAATTTTACATTTTGATTACTAATTTCAGGATCAAGTTAAATATTGCGTTTAACGTGGCTACTTATGATTGCACGCACAATTTATGTCTAAACTAACGTAGATTAAAAATGCAAATCATTACTTAATTGCTTTTTAAAATAATAATTAAAAATTAAAACTTAAAATTCAAAAACTGGAAAATTCCATAGTATTGAATAACTATTTTAAAATTGTTTTGTAATATAAAATTTGTTTGTAATTTATTTGTTGTTTTAAACAAAATTATTATATCCTTTAAATTTTTAATAACTTACAAAATTATCCAACTTACTTAGTATTACCCAACAATAAATAAATTACATTATTAATTTACTATAATTAAAATTGAATATTTGCTAAATTATTAAATTCATAAATCTTGTAATTTTATTTTAATTGTAAATAAAAATTAGAGAAATTCTTAAAATGTTTGAAATAATATTTAGGAAATTAAATGAAATGCTTGAAATAATTATCAATGTTAATTTGATTCGCATAAATTATTAAATTTATTATTAAATAAAAATATTTTTACAGCTTTATTTGTATTAACTTGAATATTAAAATAAAATAAATAAATAAAAAGAGATAGTTAACTAATTTATATATACATTATGTGTTAAAACTCTCATAAAATATAATTACATAAAAACATAGTTATAAATCTGTTTACTAAAATAAATACTAAAAATATACACGTATTATCATACTAAATAGCAAATGTAATAGCAAATAATATCCTAATCAGGATCAATTAAACTCATAGATCATTAAACTCATAGATCACTTTGATCCTTATCACCATAAATAATACGCCCAAAGGGTTGCATACGTTGGACGGCCTCATCGCTATCATAGCACAGGTTGATACCGAGCTCCTGGAGCCTATGGTTATAGGCCTTATCAAACAGTTTGCTTTGTTCATCACTAAAATGCGTCCTCCAGTCCCCTATAATGCCTTTCCTCATGAACTTGGACTGACTCATATCAAACAGACCCTTCACCGGCAACTTCTCCCGGTTTACCATTTTATTGTCTTTCATCTCATCGAAGGAACAGTGGTTTGCGATCCTCTCGATTATCTCATCCGTTAGGTTATTGCCCACAAAGCGGGCGATCACTGCAATCATTTTGGGTAAATCCGTCTTCAGCTCCTCGTACGATATGAACAGCACTTGGTTGGGATTTTGCTGGTGTAGGCGCCAGTAGCCCTCCACGTGGGACAGCCAGTCACCATGCACTAGCTTGCCCTGGGCAAATAGGTCCACGAAGTTGTCCCACGTGCCCGCGTAGTTGCCCAGGAATTTGGACATACGGTGGTGATGGTAGTAGGAGACGGCAGTGTCCTTTGGGTTGCGCACCACGTAAATGATCTGGTTGTTTGTTTTAAAAATAGAAAATTATTTAGTATTTTGTGTACTAGTTATATTACGGAATAATTGTGTAGGTTTCCAGGATTTATAATGGTGTGACTAGTTATAAAACTTTTATGATATGATAAATTACTAGTAGTTATCATTTTAGTATAACTGATTATAACTTTAATATAGAGTATTAGTATATTATATATTATATTTCTGTTAAATGTTATATAGTTATGTTTAATATCTAAAAGATTCTACTTTTATTTTATATTGTTATTATTCTATTGTTAAACTAATAATGGAAAATTGTTATGAACTTATTATTAAGTCCCGGGCATAATAAACTTATTAAAATTAATATTTTTTATTTCAATTTTATAAACACTATGTCACTATACTTTTATGCTAACACTAACACTAAATATGTAGGAATTGCGAAATAAATAGCATAAATAAAATAAATGCATAGCACAAACACATACCTTGCACTTCAATTGCTGCAATTGTATGGGTATATGAGTTGTGGGCAAATGAGTGGCAATCAAACGCTGAGACTTCTTGGACTGCAGCCAACGCGAGTGACCCACAGGTATACCCACTTCGAAGTGCTTCACACGCTTTGGCAACAGTTTGTCCTTCACTTTCTCGATGTCTCCGCCATTGTATATGAGGGACAGTATCTCCTCAGTCCATGTCGTGCCCGACTTGGGATACGTAGCCAACCACAGGTCGTCCTCCCGTACATTGAATTTATAGATTTTCGACAAAAAGTTTTGGTTCACGAGATACCCCTGAAGTAATAGGTTGTCAAAGAGTAGGGCGTTTGGTATGGACCGCACATACTGTGCCCGTTGAGGGTCGGCGTCTAAGTCCGGCTCATTAGCCGCTAATATTATCTCAGATTTACTTTTCTTGCTTTTCTTATTACAAAATCCCGGGCAATGAGAAAACACTTTTATGGCATACATCGTGACTATTATACACACTTTTTTTGATAATTATAATTTTTATAACAGATTTAAAATCCTATTTAAAATGAGTTGTTAAAATCGTTGAGTTATACGTGATTTTTGAACAATAAACAATTTTTATATAATTAATTAATATTATAATTTTGTAATATTATTATACATGTTAAAATTACTTTTAACAAATTAATATTAATAACTTGTCTTATTAAATAAGCAGAAATTAATTCTGAGTTAACAAACTGAAGTAGCACACTTTGAAGTAACCTTAACGTTCACAATGACTTATTTGGTGCAATACTTAACGGTTTATATATGATAATCGGATATAATTGTCGTAATAGTGGTATTAACTCATGAAATACGTGTGAATGTGATTCATAGCACTTCACGGCAAAGGAAATACTGATATCTTATACACAAAAAATAAATATGTTATTCACTAAACACTTATTAATATTACAGTATTACACGTTAGAGTGATCCGTTGCTTTAGTCACAACACCTATGGGTACGACGAGTACTATTGCTGCACAGGTAATTGGTTGTGAAAAAATGGGATGCCTAATTTAAGTCAGTTTGTACTGCTCACCTATCTATGAACAATCTTTTTATTGTGCCCTAATATATGATTTTAATGATTTTAACAATAAAAATATGATTTACTATTTATTACACAATTTTTCATTGTTATAGAATTTGTTTGGAATTAAACTTCAAAACAAAATTTATTCTTACAAGGTCACTTATTTCATTGAATTTGTTGTTTTTTAAACAATTTACTTTTTATATTACTAAAATAGTTACATAAAGTTATAATTACTTGCCAAACTTATTTTATGTTTGCTAAATTATTACTATTTGCTTAAAACTATTTTTGTGAATCAATTTAAATAATTTAATATAACCTTATACTAATATGCGTAATTAATATTTATTATATTTAGTATTTTATTTTTACCACTATTACCCATCATATTCCCATCCCATTCCCAACCCATGCATATACAGGTTCAGTATGTCTAGCATGTTATCTAATCAGTAATCTCTTATGTACTATTGTGTTCTCATATTGCTCCCATATCAATATTATTGCCCATATATAGTGAAATACATTATTTTGTACTAAGTCACGGAGTTTATTTTTATTGTCTTTTAATAATTCCATCATTATTTATAATGTTTAAACTAGGTAATAAAATATATTTAAAACTTTAGGTGCACCCTAGTTCATAATTTATACTTAAATTAAATAAATAAAATTAATATAATTTGATAGATATTGTATAGAATAGTTAGAAAAATTAAAAAAGATTTTGTATATAAGAAATTAATTTATGCTTGTAATACTCTGATAATTTATTAGTAAAACCAGTCTACTCTGAAACTATTAACACCAGAATTTTATTTATTTTATAAGTTTATAATAGTCATCAAAATAAATCATGTACTAAATTTATACACCTAATAAATATGTACTAATCAGATAACCCTCTAATTTTATATAATTATTATATTTTGCAAAATGCACTTAGATTTATTTATTCTAGTACTTTCGGTTATCTTGAATTACACAATTTTTAAAATAGTTTTAAACAATTTGTTCAAAATATCATATAGAGATCATATTGTGGTTATAATTAAATGAATCATAATAACCATCATGTTAATTGCAATGTTAACTGGAAATTATTTTCCTATTAAAACATTTGTTTTTATCATAAGAAATGCTAAATAAATAAAATTCTTAGCAAATATTTTTTGTGAGATACTTTTATAGTAATTTTCCAATAATTAATTTATACAATATATTTGTGTTGATTAATTAATTTTTCCATAATATGTTTACAATGCTTTCGTTAACTTGTATCTGTAAACTAAAATATAAATATAACTTATTTTATAAATCTAAATAGGCAATGACAATTAGTTATACTAAATTATAAATGTCATTGCCATAACGATTTACATTTTGATAATTTAAGAGCATTCAGTACACAGGTAATAAAAATGATACAGTGACCAGGGTGATGAGGCAAAAATTATTTCTAAACTTTTAGCTATAAGTAAAACTAATTTATTTTTATTACTATTCTATAAGAAAAACAAATATTATTGTCTATAAAAATGTTTATTGACTGTGATTAAAAAGTTCCTAATTAATGTAAATATTTTCAGTAACATTTTATTAATTGTTCTACTTAATTGAAAAATGCATTTATTTTATATAAACACTTATTTTATATTAATTTTTATCACAACTACTTATGCCATAAATAAAATCACTCAAGACTTACCACCAAATACTCCACCAAACTATTGGAAACTACATACAAGTCTAAGCAAAACAAATAAAACCTGTGTTACAAATAAGGACTGTTACCCTATGGGGACGGAAGGGGTATGTGTGGACACTACCTGTCAGTGTAGAGCTAATTATAGACTAAATGATCAAAATATTTGCTCAAATTATAACTGCCAAACAGACACAGACTGTCGGCGCTATGACGGGAACCGGATGTGTAGAGTCGGCACTTCGTGTGACCTAAACCCGGGTTCGGGTAAACATTGTTATTGTAAACCACTGTTCAAACCAAACACAAGCAAAGGTGACAAATGTGAAACAATTAAGACTACAATAGAAACCTATTGTACCAAAGATTGTGACTGTATTTCCGATGTCAACCAGTTATGTATGGATAAGACATGCCGATGCAAAGCGGACTATTACCCTGATAATAATACATGTGTTGAGAAAAGGTGCAGTGGGTTAGGCATGTGCGACAAGTATGACACGAACCGGTATTGTCTGAATGGTAATTGTGTTTGCAAGGATGGTTATCTAATAGACCTAGATAATGGCAAAAAGTGTACTCTTGAATCATCAACATCACCAACTAGTAGGTGGGGTATATACGTNAGGTGCAGTGGGTTAGGCATGTGCGACAAGTATGACACGAACCGGTATTGTCTGAATGGTAATTGTGTTTGCAAGGATGGTTATCTAATAGACCTAGATAATGGCAAAAAGTGTACTCTTGAATCATCAACATCACCAACTAGTAGGTGGGGTATATACGTGGTGGTAGGGGTCATAGTATTTGTTATAATAGCCTCCCTGGGTGGGTGGTTGTGGTACAGACGTAACAAAAGAAAACCTAGCATGAGCAATCATAATACTAATACTAATAATAATGATATTAGCACACAATACCCTGTTCAAAGGTGGTCAGCAAACTCTGATACTGTTGATTTATATTATAATAGAAATGAACAAGCACAATCAATAAGTACATTGCGTCCAATTATGACTAGAAATCTGGATGACACATATCCAGCTCATTTAATTCCGGGCGAACTACCTCGTGATCGGTTACCTAGCTACAATTTACACATTACCCCTAATAGCGGTGAATCATATAGACATTATCCACGACCAGGCACAATGTATGAAATTAATATTGATACTTGTAATGGGGGCCCGAGTAGGCCATCCCCTATGGACGCTCCCCCTACTTATGAGGAGAGTATAAGACTACAACCAATACCTCCAAAGACTGCGACAATTGATAATCAGTTATAATTTATTTATAAATAAATTTTTGTAAATATTTGTAAATATGTTTAAAAATTGTATAATGTAATATTTTTAAAAAATTTAAAATTAGTTTAAAATAAATTATTTTAGTAATAACTACCGGTATATAATAAATAAGATAACATAATTACTTTACAACTTAAAATGTCAAATATGCGGATTTGGTTTAGAGTTACATAATATGTATTTGTATATATAATAGTATAGCATTTGTCATAATTTGTTAAGAATTAATCGATTCCTGTTAAATGCATTAGTCTGACTGATAGGACAGGAATGTAACAAATTAATTAAGCTTTCTAGTTGAGATATAAGATATTATTATTTTTTAAATTGCTCTTAAAAAATATTATTTTGTGAGAATAACATAATACTTTTTACACTAACTACATTATAAAGTTTACTTAATCAGGTTTATCATGTAAGATTTTTAATTATTATTTTATTGTGATCTTAAGTATTTTGAACTGAAAATGAATTGTTTATAATGTCATAAACTGATAAAACCATGCACTTACTATAGGAGTGGCACTTACTATGGCACTTATTGCCACCTCTACAGTAAAAAATTAAATATCAAAATAATTTTTTAATTCAAACATTTTTTGAAATAAATTTAAATTTTATTAAATTAATATAAATTCGTGCCCCTTATTAATTTAAACATTAATAATCAGCAAAATAAATTTTTTATTTATAGTTAGTAGTTAGTTATATGGTTAAATATTTATTCTGCTGACAAATGAATTCTATGCATACTCTATACATATTCTATACAAGCTAACCCTGAATACAAATGAAAACAATATTATAAAAATTGTAAAATTAATTATTATATTATTATTAAATTACAAAATATTTATAACAAGTTTACTAAACTTTAAAATACCAAAAAAATCAATACAAATACTGTATAAACAATACTATTAAAATATTTGCGTCTAACCTCTTATTTTAATTATTTAGATTATAATATCACAAGTTTAATTTAAAAATAATTAAATATAAATAATTGTAAATCGGAATACTAGTACTATGTGTGAAATTCAAAATTGTATCAGGCTAATGCTACGTATAAGATAAAGTCGCTCTGGGTAACAAAATGAAGTTAAGTGCCCTTTATGTCATAAATTGACGACTTATGTAATAAGTTAAATTTTATGATTTATAAATGAACAATTAAGTTACTATAAAAATGAATTTAAATTATTTAATTGTAATTGTTATATGCATGTTAATGTATTGCTACTGTAAACAACAATATATTACCGGTATAGAGAATAGGGTAGATATCTATACAGAAAAAGGGCTACATACTAATATCACAGTCGGTAATAAGCCCACCACTCCACGCATATACGACATCCCGTGTAAAATGAACGCCGACTGTAACGACACTAAT